AAGAAGAAGAAGAAGAAGAAGAAGAAGAAGAAGAAGAAGAAGAAGAAGAAGAAGAAGAAGAAGAAGAAGAAGAAGAAGAAGAAGAAGAAGAAGAAGAAGAAGAAGAAGAAGAAGAAGAAGAAGAAGAAGAAGAAGAAGAAGAAGAAGAAGAAGAAGAAGAAGAAGAAGAAGTTGGAAGGGACCTTGGAGGTCATCTAGTAGTCCAACCCTCTGCTCAGGCAGGAAACCCTATACTATTTCAGACAAATGGCTGTCCAATCTCTTCTTAAAAACTTCCAATGTTGGAGCATTCACAACTTCTGGAGGCAGATTGTTCCACTGATTAATTGTTCTAATTGTCAGGAAATTTCTTCTGAGTTCTAGGATGCTTCTCTCTTTGATGAGTTTCCATCCATTGCAAACTGTCCTGCCTTCAGATGCTTTGGAGAATAGCTTGACTCCCTCTTCTTTGTGGCAACCCCTGAGATATTGGAACACTGCTATTATGTCATCCCTAGTCCTTCTCTTGATTAAACTAGACATACCCAATTCCAGCAATCGTTCCTCATATGTTTTAGCCTCCAGTCTCCTAATCAACTTTGTTGTTCTTCTCTGTACTCTTTCTAGAGTCTCAACATCTTTTTTACATTGCGGTGACCAAAACTGGATGCAGTACTGTATCCCAAGTGTGGCCTTACCAGTGTTGACCTTTAAATCATAAACAGCATAAGGCCTGATTATTTGAAGGACTATTGCTACGATTCTGCAGAGTTAAATCAGCAGGAAAGGCTGTTCTGAAGATCCTCTGTTACCAGAAACTCAGATATTGCCGCATGAGAAAGTGCCTGTTCTGGCTCCTGTATCTTCCATATAGATCAACACAAGTTATAAAACTCCATTCTAAAGCATATTAATTAACTCTTGTTAATTATTTTGATTATTAATTATTTTAATTGTTAATTATTTCTGTTTTTTGCTTTTCATTTTAGCTGCATTAGTTTATTGTTATGTTTTATATTTAGGACATTTAAATAGTAGCTCCCCCCTCCCCCCTGTACATTTTGCTCCCTCCCCTGTATTTGTATTGAGATGTTATGGTGATTTTATACATACATACATACATATTTATGGATTTATTTTAATGTAAGCCACCCAGAGTCGCCTTGCAGTGAGATGAGCGGCAAACAAATAAAATAATAAAATAAAATGAAAAATAAATACATAAATACATAATTGTCGTAAGCTGCCTTGAGTGTTCGCATAAGTAGAAAGGTAGGGTGCAAATTAAATATAATAAGTAAATAAACTATTGAATATATTTGGATCTCCTGAAAATATGTAACATAAACGAACCACATCAAATCTCTAAAACAGGGATGGAAAACCTATACACATTTGAGTAACCCTCAGCATCCCTTATTAATAACCATGCTAATCTGCAGTTCTTGGCAGGTGATCCAATAATACCTGGAGCATCACCAATATCTCAATCTGATAGAATAACTTCAGAATAGTATTTGATTACATTTATTTATATCTGCTAAATATAATCTTAATAATGTATTGTGAGCTACACTTAGTAATTTCTACAATCAATAACAAAAATATGTAGTATAATTAACACTGGCAATAATGGATGAAATCTAGGGGTTGAATTTCTAAATTTTATTTAACCCAGCATTAAAAGACTGTTCAGAGATACATTAATGAATCTTGGGTGTATAAATTGTCCCATCTCCCAATTTGACTATGAGAAATAGATTATAAAGTTTAATTTACATTTTCAACTAACCATCATTATGCAGTATACTGAAACTGTAATTGTAATTAGTACGAACTATGTCTTTTTAAACCAAGAAGTATCATCCACATGAGGTTGGCTCATTTCCCTAAAACATAAAATTATCATAGTTTATCTGGTTTCAGACATAGCAAGTAACCATATTTGAACACTTAAAGAATGTTTCCTGTCTTTTTTTCATAGCCTGTTTCAGTATAGAAAAAGTGAAGCAAAATATGCAAAAGGCTCATGATTTTTGTAGTAATCCATAGTATAGTGTGCAAATTATTCATTATATTATGCATCTCTGGTTCCTAGCAAAAGAGACCAACAGACAGGTTGAATTTCTACTGGAAGAGCATTCCAGAATTGTAATACTTGACTTGCCTATTCATTTATCAGACTACTAAAATTACAGCAATGACAAACCGCCCCAAGATAGATTTTTTTTTTAGATTTTGAATCCCAGGCATACTTAAATGAACACAAACGGTTTTTAAAAGACCCTAAGCTGTGTAGAGATTTAAAATCTAGAACCAGCATTTTGAATAGGACCTGCGATCAAATAAGAAGTCAATGGAACCAACATAAAATCAAATTTACATGCATCCAGCCAATACATGCAACATTTCAATTTTTATGCATTAATCCAAATTCCACCTCAACATCTCTATTCCTGCAACTCCAAATTTGTTATGATCATGAATGCCTTTTCTGGACAGGTATAAAGCACAATATTATTTCTGCACAGCTGTCTGATAGTGCTGTAAAAATGAAGAGGCAAAGATCATAAACATCTCTTCAATATTTTATACTGCATTTGGACAATACTATTTCTCCATTTTAGGTCAGGCATAATTGTTCTTGGTTTATTTTGAATTGCCTTCTATTTTATCTTTGTCCATCTTCTATTAATAGTTTAAGAATCTGGCGTCCATTAATACTGACTTCTCAATCATACTAGAAGCCCTAGAACTGCAGTAAATTATCTAGAGCAAACAGTATGTACTGTACTAAATAGATAACATGATC